AAAAAAAAAAATAGGGAGCCCCAAAATCGACGCACATAAATAAATTCCTTAGCGGCAACGTAAGCGACAGAAGCCGGATACTTTTGGTGGCTGCCTGCTTCCGCCGGATATTTTTTCGCTAATTGCCTAACTAATTCCGCCGGGCACTTTAATAAGTACTAGTTAGTTAATTCCACCAAATATCCGGAATATAAAATCAATAAAACAACACCCAAGATATCTAGCGATATCCTTCTTTATAGTAATATATAGTTTTTTTTGCCTATTTAGGAGTTTCCTTTCGTTCTAAAAATTAATTTTAAAAAAATTACAATATATATCCTTTCTCCCATAATTATACTTCACCCGAAATAAAGGAAAACTAACACACTACTCCTACGTGTTCCTTTAAAACAGACGGAAATCCGCAATAATATTGTTTATGTCTTGCCTTAATAATAACATAAAACAACCCATTCCCCCAAACAAATTACAAAAGATTATTTTAATCAATTTCTTATAAATAAACCATTCAATAATAAATATTTCCAAATAACCAATTCCTAACGTCTACATAATCCAACCTATTCAATACCCAAATGCAAAATAAAAATCGACAATACCAAAATAAAATCCTTACAATTAATCGAATAAAAATCTTAATTTTCTTAATATCCTTATATATTAAAAAAATATATAAATTATATTTAATATATCCAATAATAAAAATAGAATATATATATAATATTTAATAAAAGAAATATAATAAAATAATCCTATATATATTCATTAGATATTATTAAATAATGTCAATGTATTGATCCCCATTGTTTATTTGGGTGGATTATTTTAAAGAATAAATTCCCTTTCTAAATAGTTCAGAGATTAATTTTAGGTCAAATGCAATGGATTTTATCTATCCAGGCCCAGTACGGCCCCCTATTCTACGTTGAAATCGATTTTACAAAGCACCACAGGCGGATGTATATATTCTTCTGATTTATGTATATTTGATGTTTTGAAAGGAGCGTTAAACTCTGGTAACTTTCGAGTCCTCACGCCCATTTCGTATCTCCACCGAATGAACCGACATATCAAGGTCTTCTCGCAACCTGAGCTGGCTTGAACAAATTCAGGTTTGCAGGAATACAGTAATTGAACATGCAAATTGAAGTGATTTTTGAAATGTATTGATAAGATGGCTCTGTTATTTCATGATCAAATTGGAAAACCCTCCATAAGTAAACTTCATTCTCGCGCCCTCATCAAACTTCCCAAGGCCAAGGTTCATTGCTGCAGTTGCTTGCTGGGAGCCCTCACTCTGATGCTGGCTTTGCAGACAAGAACTGCCAAATGGAAGACTCCTGGTGTTGCTGTGCAGATCTGGAACGGACTCTTTCTTGTTTGAACTTTCATTCTCTACATGTTACATCATGTTGCTATCCACACGCAACATGCACTGACCAAATCGCGCTGATCTCCTGAGAAACCAAAGTCGAGTTTAGACCTCCACATTGCCGCACAACGAAGTTTCAGATGCACGTTGAAAGCACACCAACTTGTGTAATGAGAACGACATCGAAGGCCTCATTTTAGGGGTGAAGTGACCAGAAGGAACATTTAAGGAACGTAGAGCCGCCACTGCTCCCCCACTCACTCTGCGGTAGAATATACAAGCCTCGGAAATTGTAGCCCTTGGTGGGATGGAAACGATGTCTAACCTCGGGCAAATTGAAGTCTGCCTACTCAGAATACAAGGTGAATGGCAAAATCCAAAGCTGTGGCAACATCCTAGCGGCCTAGCGTTCTGCAGCCGTCAGTTTACAAGACAAAAATGTTATAAATATTGAAGCAGGGTCGATTGCCCTCAGAAGCGTCCAATGCAACTCCCCAGTCTTGACCGTGGGGTGCTGACGGTGGGGTGCTTGGCCTGGGCTGGCAGACGGTAGAATCCATGCTGTCAAACTCAAAGACTACTATCCAGTTCAGCTTCGCAAGCTTCTCATCAAGGTCACAAAAGAAAACTTCTGCCAGAACTCTTCATTCCCCTCCACCATTGATTGCTGATTGTTTCTATGATGAGCTCATACCTTCCCAACAGCACCAGCATGTTGATATGATTTATCAGTGAGTAGGTGCAATTTCCTAGCTTGACCTTGAGCTTCCCACGGCCAACGGAGGAGTTGTTGGAGTTGTATGCGTCTGCAACAGGGACGTGGCAATGTGCTGAAACACATCGGATTGTAGTGTGGTAGCCATACTCGACTTGATGTTCCAACTTCCGTTTCCGAGGTAAACCTGGTTACTCACGTTTGGTGTGAAGTCCTTTCCGGGCAAACTGTGATAGTCTGGTCGAGCTCCAAGTCTCACCAGCGAATCCTCAGAAACCACCTTCCTTCGCTTCCTTCCTTGGGTGGGCCTTCGTCATCTGCATGATGAGATCATCTGCCTATCCAACAGCATCTCAGGATCTGCACCGCTTGGGGAGTCTTCTTCCCTCCTTTTTGGGACAAGAACCTGCATGAGGCGGGCATAAATGAAGAACTGTCGAAGCCCAGGTCAGCACATTTAAAGCATATTGCTCCAAATATGCCTTTCTCCTTCTGTCCCGGCTGCTACACCCTCCCGCCAAACCACGCACATTCCCCCGCCTCCACGCTCTCACTGGCCTTGAGCTTGCCGAAGAGTGGTTCGTGTGATGTGTCAAAAATCCAGTCAGGGACCTGCCGCAAGTTTCCCAGATCTGTCCATGCCTACTTTCTATTTCCCTGGTTTCCGATAGCGAGGGCCTCCAACCCAATAGCAATGCCTCCAACCTAAAAGCGATGGCCTCCAACCTAATAGCGAGGCCTCCAACCTGATAGCAACGGCCTCCAACCTAATAGCGATCCTAGTAGCGATGGCCTCCAACCTACTAGCAATGGCCTCCACAGGCTTGCTTGAGGTTGAATGAAAGAATCACTTTAATGACCTCTAGACATCTCTAGACTCCGGCCAACTGGCAAAGTGATCCGCTTCAACAAGCACAGCAAGGCTTTTCATGCAGGATTGTATCTCTCGGCGATAGTCTGGTCTCAGCTAATAATATGGGCCGGTGACGTTTCAAGAAGTGTTGTGTGTGTATGCTGAAGCAAAGCGACAAGAAACTGCATGCTGATGCCTCCAGTTCGTCAAAGCAACATTCCGGAAGACTGAAGAATTGCAGCATGGGCATCACAAAGATGGACAGATCTGTGCGCAGGTTTCTTCAGATGGATCACTGCGTTATATGACCAAGAATCTAAGAACAAATCAAAACAACTCTGGAAGTCAGTTTGTCAAAACCCAGACTGACACGCTGAATCTCACTGACTCATCAACTCGCACCACCAGTTCACTGCCAGTTCACCCATGAAGCACTGATGAATGATCTTGTGTGAAAGGCAAACCGTCACAGGCCTAGTGTGATATTGGAGTTGTGAGACCTGAAAAAAAAAAAAGCACTTGACAGGGTCAAAATATTGGCAAAATATGAAACAAAGGCATACAAAGGCAGCAAAAGTCAGCTGAGCTTCCAGCAGCTCTGGTGGACACACCAAACCTTTGCGAGCCATACACTCCTGGTAGATCGCCTAGGCAAAGAAGCACAGCCTCTAGAAATCTTGTTTTGGAACAAGAAGAACCCTTTGAACATTTTGAACACAGTGTCATCCTGTGTCATCCTCTTCGTATGAAGGGAAAACTCTTGCTCTGCAATCTTTGTCCGCCGTGGGCAGCAGACCAGGCGACGCGCTTTGTACATCTCTGGGAGGCGCAACTACAACCAATAACAGGACAATATGAATCTTACCCTTTAGGTTGGAGGCCATCGCTATTAGAAGGGTTGATATAGTTTGCTGGCCCTGCACTGCAAGGTGTCTCTCAATTGTCCTGCTTGGCTCAATCCAACCCATGGCATTAGCATGGACTTGTAAGTTCCAAGCCACTCCGCTACAGCAAGACTGAAACAACAAGGGCTTGTGTGTCAAACAGGTTGTCATTGATGAGTCATCATCGCTACTAATCACTATAACTTGTTTGTCGGTCTTCTGGTTTCAGCTTGCAAGCATGTCGACTACCTTTGAGTCGACCCTACATATCACACGGCTACATGAGAAATCTCCTGCGTCCTGCAAAAGAGCAGGCTGGGCGATTAAGTTTGTAGTTCCTTTGTTCCTAGTAGCGTCCGATCACTCCTAGTAGCACGGCCAGGAGCCCCTAGTAGCTTCTTGCTCCTAGTAGTGATGCCCTTTGCTCCTAGTAACGTAGCGTTCCTGTAGTTATAGTTGTACAATGTGAGAGTTGCACTCCCACGTCATTGCTGTCATCGGCTCCCCCGAACCCTGACACTTCTGACAGAGAGAACAAGCATCTGCAAGGCTTGCGTCTCAATGACAAGATCAGTAGTAGGTTGGAGGCCATCGGTATTGGGATGGAGGCCATTGCTATTACAGTAGGTTGGAGGCCAACATGATCTGCAAGGTGCTCTACTCGGACGGGTTCTGTCCTTGCAGATCGCTGCTGTCGAATGCTCTCGACTAGCTGGCTCTTTAAGGATCCCACGTCGCCCAGCAACTGGCCCTACACGAATCAAGCTCAGTTCGTCATGGTGCAACATCATGAAAATATGTTCGTGATGCTTTGCATGTCGTCTTCACTCAATGCCTGAATCTGCTGCATTCGACGCTGTTGTTGCCGCAAGACCTACCATTCGACAATCACCATCTTGGCCCTGACTCTGAATCTTCCGAAGGGATTTCCCAGAATCAAACCACCGGCGTTCATAGCAGTTTGTTTGCACTGTCCGATGCCTCGACTGTGTTTGTTTGGTGTGCGTGAAATCCTCCAATAGCGGCGTCACAATGACTGCGCACGGCCTGCAACAGCCAGTAGGAAGGGCGATTCATGTTTGCGAATGCTTGCGAAAGGAGATGCACCAGGTAGTTGCATCTGATGAATCAAGGCAGGTCGTGCAAACAAAGACTCAGACTCTGAACATTTGTCAAGGCGATCTAGGTAGTGGCTAACTTAGCTTACTTAGACTTAGTTAAGTAGGCGCCTACGGAATCAAGGAGGCAAGCGGAAGTTTTTTTTAGGTTTTTTATAGATTACTTTTGGTTACAGTTAACATATTGAAAAACCAATAAATAGTTTAATTCAAATAGACAAATGCAAATATCGAAAAATATGTTTTGAAAGAGTCACTCCGGATTATTCCGGCCTATCCATGCCTATCCTGTAGAAAACAAGCCCAGCGGCGCCTCAAGCTCACCTGAAAGTTGTTGCTGGATTGAAGCCTGTTGATCAAGAACCTGTCCAAAGGATTCCGAAGGTAACGAAGCGGCTCTCGTGCAGTGGGTGTGCGAGGCCGTTGGACATGTGGGGCCATTGTTCATCAAAAGCATTGTTCGATCCCTCCACATGGCCCCTCCGTAGGTCTGAAAACTGGCAATCAAGCTGATCCCGGATATGAAGACCATCACTCCACCCGCAGACCAGAACAGTTGAACATGTTCCCACCGGAAAGTGTGTTCCCAACCACTGCGAGTCCGCCTCATCAAAGAAGGTTCGTTGTTGAGTGCGAAGCTCTAAAGCCTCTTGTCGGTGCTTGGTGCGAAGCAGCTCCAGGTCCTTGCGACACTTGTGCGGCTTGCTCAGGCACAAAGGTGTCGTCGTGTCTGGTCAAAGATTTATATATAAACACAAAAATTACCAGTCACGTTGTTAGATTTTAACGCTGTATACAAAACTATAAAAGCATCAGCACCCAACAGGGCACCGTCTTGAATCGTTTAACAATTGTAACTCCAGTGCTCTTCCAACCTGTGTGTTACCTGTCCAAAAAGGCCCAGGCAAAGTGGGCAACCCATGGCAAGCCTGAGAAGAGTAGTGACTCATGACCGCTCCCCCTTGCCTACTTAATTGAGTAGGCACCTACTTAATTAAGGGAGAGGTAGCTACTACCTTACTTAAGCTACTACCTACTCAACGCAGGACTGAGAGGGTGCGGGTAGCTTCCTTGAAGAAGCGCTGCTCCTAACCTAGATGTTTAGGGACACTTATATATATATTATACAGTGTATATATATATTTTATACCAATAGGCCAGTCCTCTGATGTCGCCATGTTCGACGCCTGCACGACCTGACGTTCGAGGGGATCCTGGCGGCCAAGCGCTTGGCGATTTTGGCCCTGAGTTACTGAAGTCTTAGAGGTCACTTGCGGCAGAGAAAGAGAAAGAGAGAGATAAAACAAAAATAGAAAAGTCAATGTAGGGGTTGGTTTTTGGTGCAGAATGTAGTGTGCCAGGCTGTGCTGTAGTAGGCTGTGGGTGGGCACCGGGTGGCTCTAGATGGTTCGCTCGGCTGCGGGCGAGGCCGGGCAGCCCTCAGCAAGTCCCAGATCGGTCCTCTCCGCCCCTCTCAGAGGTGGTTTTGTCAGCACGGCACCCAAAGGCCTGAGGCACGTTGCCCAAAAAGTCCGCAACTGAGCCGGAATTGAACATGACCTCATGTTCAATAGATGATCTACACAACAGAATCTTGCTTTTGTTGCACTTGGTGCAAGGTGAAATACAGACCACGCACGTCAACAACGCTCAAAGAAACCGAAAGCGCCACACAAGTAGAGACTCCATTCAAAAGGAATACTGTCTGTATTTTGGTGATCGTGCGTGGCGTTTCCCACCTTGAAAATGCTCCACTCTCCTGCACTGAACCAGTCCGGGCGAATGTTTGACTGGTTCAGGTTTGCACTTTGCCAGCCTCATCTTGTCTCAAAAGGACAAAGACATAAACAGGTACTCGCTGCGGATGGCCACACACGCCACACAGATTTCGCTTCTCCGTCACGTTGCTTGGCTAAGTCCATGAGCTCTGCGATGTCTCGCTGACGCTCCTGTGCGCCGGTGGTCGTTCGCACTCCCGTTTCTTCCCTACTAAATGCCCCAATGCAAGATTGAGAAGAATGGTTTGAAGATGTTTGAAGAACTACATCAGCAATTCATCAGCCAAAAGTATCTTCACATTTATGCTGCAAGCTTGGAAAAAAAAATGAAAAAAGTTGGGGAGCCATCCGAATCGTGAGACTACGGTGCCAAAGGGACCCATTTCTTTCAAGGACCCTATAATAATATGACCCTCTATGACCCTATGACTCACCTAGATCTGCTCACCTCTTTCTTCCCTTGGTCGTATGGGACTTTGGTTGTGCGAACTGGGAAAGCGCAGCTGCCGCCTGTCGCAGGCCCTCCACCTGAAACGCAAACAGTTCGGGTGAGAAAACGTCAATCAGTTCTTGAGGCCTCCATGATCCTTCATGCACCTCCGATGAGATTTCTATCATCTTCCATCATTGCACTTGCTTCCTCATTTATGTCAGTTCGACCCCAGGTCAAACCTCTGAGGACAGGCGTCGCACTGCTCCTAGGTCACGGAGAGTGTCCAGCAGCTGGCGCTGCAATTCCTGCGCCCGAATCATCGAACTCGGTCAAACCAGGCAGGAAAAAACTGCGAAGAGCTGCTACCTCTGCGACAAACAAGTTTTAGGTGATCGTAAGCACCTCGATCTCTCGGTTCTGCATGGAGAGCCTGCAGAACCGCGAAGTGTCTTGTGTCTTCATCGTTCTTCCATCTCACTTTCTTTTTAAGGGATCAGTACTACACGACCATGATCGACGTATCTTGCGAACCAATGCAAGGGTTGGCTTTGCATGCTTTGCTTTGGCCGCTCCTTCGTTCACCAAGCGGAAGACCTCCTTCATCCTCCTTCCCAGGACCCAGCTCCCCACCTATTTTTCACCTCGGTGACGTGGCTTTCGTGCCGCTGTTGTAGAGCCTCCAAAAGGGAGTGGACAGTTTCTGCAAGCATGTGATCAGAATGAATCAAATCGTGTGTGATCATGTAACTAGCATATAAAATAGCGAGCGTTCGAAGTGATCAACAAATTGAACGATATGAATCGATATGACAGAATTGGTGTGCCCCGAAATTAGTACCCTTCACAACCGATCGGTTGGTGGCCAATCCTTTCTTCTACTGACGGGTCCTTCATTTTGTGAAAAAAAAAACACCGCTATGCCGCTATGCGAATGCGCTGTTCCTGGAAGTCCTCCACAGTGAGACCTTCACCAAACTGAATCTGTGACATCCGTGTTATTCAATCAGGGTTACTTGGAGTTCATACGTCTGTCTGTGAGTGTCAGCCAGCTGTGTTCCACAGCAATTGAAATTAGGCCTTGCTGGAAAGACGCAATTTGAGCTTCAGGGCTTTCTGCTGCCTCACATGGCCATGCTGTTGCCAGTGCAGAATCTCCTCTCTGTACTCTCTGCATGGCAAAAGCATTTCTTGTACTTTCACGGGACTTGGCAAGTGTCTCGCAGCCAATGCCTCTGACTTTGTTTCCGCATCCTTTGCTGCCTGTGGACGCAGTCAAGGACGAGTCAAGCAGGTGGTTAAAAGAAGCTACTAGGGGCTCCTGGCATCGCTACTAGGAGCAAGGACGCTACTAGGGGCTCCTGGCCATAATACTAGGAACAAGGACGCTATATTATATACTAGTAACGGAAAGCTACTAGGGAAAGAAAGGAACGA